GTCGGACGCAAGCACGGTACGTATACACCCGTGTGCCCATAGAACCCTTGCTGACAATTTCCGCTAGACATCTACATCGCTGTCGTCTCGTCTGCACACAACGTCTGCCCCAAGGGCTACTACATCGCCATTGTCTCCACCATCGCTGAGGGCGACAGCAACCACCACCTTGAGCTCCAGCCCGGTCTTGACCGTCTCGGAAAGATCGAGGAGAAGTTCATGGGCCCAGCTATCCCACTCTACGAGCCAATTGAGAGCGGTGCCAAGGACAACATCTTCATGTCAAAGAGCTACGACGCTACTAGCCACTTTGAGACAACGACTGGTATGTTTCCGGTGTCTGAAATGGTGCACGAAATACTGATATATGACAGATGACATCAAGGACATTTACCAGCGGGCCGAGGGCCACGAGCTGGTTGTCGAGGGTCTGAGAGAGGGCGCGAACTTCAATGTTGAGGAATAGACGGGCTCCACGAGGGAACGGATGATACAAGCATCAACGGTCTTTTAGGTATATCGTTTGGTAATCGGTAAAGACTTGGCTTCTATAACGACTTTCATTCTCAACATGTGTGAATGCGTGATGCTGCGGAGCTCGAGCTCGGTATTTCCTATTTGGGCGATGAGATCGGTCCCTTCCAATTCGACCACCACGCGCGTCTCGACGAACGTGTCAGTCCAGCCCAGATCAAGGTGGATAACAAGTCAAAGCTGCATCCATTCGTAGCGTATTGAGTCGTGATGTTGTACCTGTGCCTATGACGATGGTAGATCTTGGCAGGGATACCTCCATGGCTCCGCAACCATCTGAGTACTGCAACGCGTCCACAAAACGTGTCCTCGAAGCGCATTGCTGTTCCCACACTCCTTTACCATGGCGCAATTCGGTCGCTACAGGTTCCTGCTTGTAGCAGTAGTGTTCCATCTGGTGTACATCTATACAATATTCAGCATACATTTCACAAGTCCGATTGTCCATGGCATGCGCGAGCACCGCGTGGAGACGCAGGAGGCTCCCGCGAAACGTTTAGTGCTTTTTGTTGGTGAGTCGCGTCAAATGGGCCTCCATTCAGCACTGACAGTATTACAGGCGACGGACTCCGTGCAGACAAGGCATTTCAGTCGTTTCCTAACCCTGATCCCAATCCTCCGACCCCTCTCGCAGACAATACGAGCGACCCGAGACCCCTCGCCCCGTACCTCCGCTCTCGCGTCCTAGAACATGGCACCTTTGGCGTCTCCCATACACGTGTACCCACCGAGTCGCGCCCCGGACATGTTGCGCTCATCGCAGGCTTATACGAGGATGTCTCAGCGGTCACGACTGGCTGGAAGCTGAACCCGGTCAACTTCGACAGCGTCTTCAATCGAAGCCGGCATACATGGAGCTGGGGTAGTCCTGACATTCTTCCCATGTTTGAGGCGGGCGCTGTTCCTGGGAGAGTCGACGCATACTGCTATGGTGCTGAGGAAGAGGATTCCTCCAAAGACGCCTGGGTGTTAGACGAATGGGTGTTTGAGCGCGTCAAGAAGCTCTTTGCGGACGCCAAAACGAATGCGACACTGGATGCAGAATTGAGGCAGGAGAAGAACGTCTTCTTCCTCCACTTGCTTGGAATCGACACCACAGGCCATGCGCATCGACCATATTCGTGGCAATACTTGCACAACATTCAGATTGTGGACCGTGGAGTTCGGGAGATTACGGAGCTTATCGAAGAGTTCTACAACGATGACAAGACGTCCTTTGTGTTCACAGCGGACCACGGCATGAGCGACTGGGGAAGCCATGGAGACGGACATCCAGACAATACGCGCACACCCTTGATTGCATGGGGTGCTGGTGTTGCAGCCCCATTGAAGAACGCATCAGGCGTTGCGAAAGGCCACACCGAGTTTTCTTCTGACTGGAACTTGGACGAGGTCGAACGACACGACGTTGACCAAGCCGACGTCGCGGCATTGATGGCGTACCTGGTCGGTCTGGACTTTCCCACCAACTCTGTCGGAGTCTTGCCGCTCTCTTATCTTGACAAAGACCCCAAAGCCAAGGCTGAGGCTCTTCTTGCCAACGCTAAGGAAATACTGGAAATGTATCACGTCAAAGAGGATATCAAGAAGTCGACACAACTCCACTACAAGCCGTTCTCTGGCCTTGGTGACGAGGCACATTCTGTCGAACATCGCATTGCGGAAATACAAGCGTTCATCGACAAGGGCAACGATGTAGAAGCTATCCGTGAGACTTACGAGCTCATCGACCTTGGTCTCGAAGGATTGCGGTACTTGCAGACGTACGATTGGCTCTTCCTACGGACGCTGGTGACTGCCGGCTATGTGGGATGGATCGTGTTCGCTATCACGACAGTCATTGACCTGCATGTGCTCACCGAACATGTGCCAGCACAAAGAACGGCGGCCAGTATGGTGGTGTTCTCTTCTGTGTTTGTTGCGCTCTGTGGAGTATTCTTCAAACAGGAATCACCGATCGTCTACTACGCATACGCCGTTTTCCCTGTCTTGTTTTGGGAGGAAGTCTTTGCGCAGAGGCTGTCGCTCGTCAAGGGCAGCAAGGTTCTGTTTGGTCATCTAAACTCAGGCGCCGATGTTGCAAAGCTTGTATTTGCGACTCTTGGCTTTTTTGGTCTCCTCGAAGCTTTGGTAAGTAGGCCATGTACAGAAGGACACGATGGTACTAACTCAGAGATAGGTACAAAGCTACTTCGTCAGGGAAATCTACACCGTATGCTACCTGGTTGCAACATTGTGGCCAGCAGTCTATGGACAGGACTTTGTGAAGAAGAACATGGCGACAGTTGCCACTTGGGTCCTGTCTTGCATAGGCATGAGCGCTTTCACGCTACTTCCAGCCAACAAGGCAGAGGACACTCGTCTGATGTAAGTGCGCCGCTTTTCATGATCGAGTTTGAACTAATGATATGCAGTCTTCTTGGAGGCGCATTGATGTTTGTCATCGGCGCGCTTTACCTGCTCTTTGAGAAGAGCATTCTCGAAGACGGTAAATCCGAAGCCGAACTTGCCAAGCATGAACTCAACAACAACTCTCGCATTATACTGGGCGCCCAACTCGGTCTTGTAGTGCTGTCCATGATTGTCACGAAAAGCAGCAGCGGATACCTCCAAGCGCGCGTAGGCATACCATTCGGCGTTTTGACAGTGACACGAGCAACGCTGTTGGCCTCACTCGTCGTCCCTCAACTGCATGGTCTCTACCCGAACACACACTACGTCCACCGTCTCGTAGTCATCTTCCTGCAGTTTGCGCCGACATTCATCATCCTCTCGATCTCGTACGAAGGGCTATTTTACTTCGCCTTCTGCATGTGTCTGTTCAGCTGGATGCGCCTCGAGCACCAGGTGTACATGCATAACTCGGCCAACCCATCGACTGCAGCCATTACATCGGATCCGGCCAAGCCTACCATGGACGCTGCATCCGATCGCCTCAACTCGCTCCAAAAGGGGGAGTACAGAACATTGACTCTAGCCGACGCCCGCATCGCCCTCTTCTTCATCTTCTTCATCCAGTCGGCCTTTTTCAGCGCATCCAACATCGCGTCGGTGTCGTCCTTCTCGCTCGATGCCGTCTACCGCCTGGTGCCCATTTTCGATCCCTTCTCTCAAGGCGCACTTCTCATGCTCAAGCTCATGGTGCCATTTGCGGCTCTCTCGGCCAATTTCGGTCTGCTCAACCGCCGTCTGGGTGTGGCGCCGTCGGCCCTCTTCATGGTGGTGATGGCGGTTAGTGATGTCATGACGCTGAGCTTCTTCTACATGGTCAAAGACGAGGGGAGCTGGCTGGAGATTGGAACGACGATTAGTCACTTTGTTATTGCGAGTTTGCTGGGTGTGTTTGTTAGCGGACTCGAGATTTACAGCGAGTGGACTATTCGGGGGGTGGAGTTTGGCGGTAGCAAGAAAACGCAGGGGAATGGGACCGTCAACGGAAAGGCTAGTGGGAAGGTAGAGTAGTTGATGTATGGTGTAGTTGTAGTGCGTCTAAAATTAGTTTTATATGCGAGCATGGACAATCACCTCACACAAGGGAAAGACCGGACGTGTGCGTTGGAGTCGACATTACTATACAAACATCAGTTTGAGAATTGTTACGGCAGTGTAGTCTTATCGGTTCTGCAGAAGTGGCTGTCCAGTTTTCTTTTCGACAGGGTGTGATGTTCCAACCCTGTTGAGATAGGGGAATCAATGATGGAAAAGTATGGTTCACTACGGCAACGGTAGGATCGCTAGAGGCGCTGTACCAAACACGCAGGAAGCGCACGTTGACTGGAGCTAGGAAGATGCATGCTTCCGAGATGAGCTTGGGTTGCCGGGCAACATTGCGCTGTGCAAGTACGTGAATCGGTCGTGATGCTCTGGAAGCGACGGCAGCCGCGTGGGGAAGGCGAGGTCGCTTGAAGGAGCATCACCGTGCTGTCTCGTTATCAGGCGAGATGGGCGGACGGCAGGCTCGAAGCGGTCTCGAGAGGTGTGATGTGGCTGGGGACGGGCGGCTGGGAAGGCTCGGCTCCACAAACTAGCGGGGGCCTGCGGATGCTGCGCTGGGCGGCATGCGAGGATGGTCCTACCCAACGCACGACTATACAAAGCCTACGCTCGTCAACAACATCCGTTCGGCGCATTATTACCTCCGCTACCGTCTGCGGCGCATTGTTTACCTCCATCGCTCCGCAAAAGACATATAGTCCGTCTTGTGCGACGCGCCGTGTGTGTGTGCGACGCAGCGCATCATCGATAGTCGTGTTATCGTGTCTTGGAACCAGGGGCCCGCCCCAACCACCGCCGCCAACAGCAGCCCGTCGTTCAACCTCGCACTTTTCCTGCGAATCGAAAGCCTAAATCCCACACGCCCAACCATTCTTTATTCGTATCTCCAGGCGCAATCTCGCTTCCTCTGAACTGCCAGCTTATAACACCGCCGGCCTTCACCCTTCGCTGCAGACTCTTCTTTTCGCATAATGTTCTTCAAACGGTAAGTCGGACCTGCTACGCGCTGCATCTGGTGACGCGCACTAACTTTGCATAGTCGGTCCCGAGCCAATTCTTACGTCGACAACAGTGAGAACCCGCGCTCGCAGTCATTCGACGATTACACAGATAAGCGCCCCGAGTCGAGCCGTAAGGAGTCCCACCACAGCCAGCCCTTTTCCCCTACCGAGGAGCCGGACATGTATCCCCGCCAGCAGCAACCCCAAGAGCCGACGTACGCGCAGAGTGCTCCCCCAACCCACAACAACATGCCCATCCGCTCCCAGCAGGTGCCCCCGACCGGCAGCAGCGCCCCGATGGGGCTCGGCATGCCCGACCTCATCACCGCTGCCTTCAACCAGGCCGTCCAGCCCTACACGGAGAAGATTGAGCAGCTCGAGAGCCAGCTCGCCGACATGCAGAACTGGGTCGACCAGCTCGAGCAGCAGCGCGCCGAGGTGCACAACTGGATCGACAAGCGCGGACTGCGCCCAGGTAAGCCGCCTGCACTGCTCGCTGCACCACTCTGTACTGACCTGCCCAGATGTTCCTGCCTCAATTGCTAAGATCATGGACACGACCACCGCCGACGCTGCGCCCACACTCAACGCCCAGCTCGACCGCAAGATCACCATCGTCAACTTCGACCTGCACCGCCTGCAGGACGACCTCAACGACTCCATCTCCTCGTCACACTTTGCCTCGGCCATGCTGAAGTTCCTGCCCGACATCCAGCGCCTGACACTCCTCCCGTCCGGCCCGCGCTACGCCTTCGACCTCATCCTGAAGCTCGGCGGCAACCTCAACTCACACGGCGGCATCGACAGTGCTGATGCCGGCGACATAGCAGCCCGCCGCGACTTCTACAACCGCCTCGACGAGACCATGGTCGATGTCGTCCAGCGCCGCTTCGGCGAGGGCGAGGGCTGGGACGTCAAGCGCGAGATCAAGCGCATCGAGAAGACAGCCAGCTACCTCAAGACCTACGGCGTCGAGCCATACTTCCCCTCAACGCTTGAGATGATGAAGCGCGAGATGGAGTTCCAACCGCACCCCAACGGCGGTGTTCCCAATGGCGGAACAGGAACCCCACCGCGGTACCATTAGATCTCTTGAGTGTGTGAGCTGAGGTGTGCTGACAGTCTGTAGTCCGAGGGAGTCGATCGAACAGAGGATAGATGCGAAGCTGGAGAAGCTGGCACAACTCCAACAAGCTATCAAGAAGTGTCGAAGTGCGCAGGACAGCTTGGGCCAATTGCATTCGTTCGACGACAGGAAGCCCGGGCGCTCTTCGGGGCCTCCCCCGCCGCTCCCTCCACGTCCTCCGCCTCAGCCGCCTACTAGACCTGCGCCACCTCCACCCGGATCTATCTCGGATCTCTGTCTTGGTGTTGGCGCCGCTCCGGCTGCTTGATGAAACTTGTACTTAATACTCTTGATTGAACGAATTTCCTTGATGTGTTGCATGAAGCGGGGAAGGGAAGGAATTGGGGCTAAATTGGGGTGTGGTTCTTCTTCTGCATCATACCCGAGCATTTTTGGTAAATGGCGGCGTTTTGGGAATTGGGTAGCCTCTTGCATGTAGCTCGCGGCGTACATTTAGTATAGTTGTCGCTTCTTTTGAAGTAGTAATTGAGAACATGACTGAAAATGTTGGTACATCAAGATGAAAACATGCGAAACGAGTGAGCCAACCTCAACGGAGGCTCCAGGGTATTGAGTTCTTCCCTTGGACGAGGTGGGGAAGGTGAGAGTTTCCGAAGTTGTGTTTGACTGGACTGCATGCGTCGTAAAGAACACTCGCTATCGATATGGTGATGCGCTGACAGTGCACATCCACTGGCCGGCATTGTGGAAGAAACAACCCCGAGGTGAACATTCACTCACTCAGCGTCTTTGCGGAAATCAGGTGTAAAGGCTTGGCGGTGGTGGTCTGTCTGAGTACAAAAGATCTTCTGCTGCAGCTCATTCTCTTCTCCTTCATTATCGCAGTCTGGGTGTGATACTCCAAAAACTTAGCATACCGGTCCTGATGTTCTGTCTGCTCCTCCTTTTCCAAAAAGCTCTTGACAGCGTCCCATGGATTTCTGCTCCGCTCTTTTCCTCTTTGTCTAAACATTAAAACCCACCCTACGTATGGTACATGCGTCCAGAAAGATATCACTGCATAATTCATGTTGCAATCTTCGAAATTGGCGGAAAACAAAAGCAACATATGTATGTTCCTATGATCTTCGGGTGCTCAAAACTGAACATGGGCTATGCAAATGGGCGTTGGAGGAACTCTGGTTTTGAGACATTTTCGAAAAATCAGAAGCCAAGGTTGCATGAGCTTTGCGGGAATTTTTACGCTTTACTGCTCTTTTGGCGCGGCGCTGTCGTGGGAGATGGGTATAAAATCTGCACCCTCGTGCCTCCCGACTTTACTTCCTATACCACGCTTTTTTTCTAAAACACCAAAATCAACAGCGACTTGACCAATGACTGTGCTGTCTTTCTCTAAAATCAAACCCGTTGGCAATCAAAGCATGTCTGCTCTGCGCTGCCTTCCTCTCTTGTCACGGAGACCTTCAGCAAAAGCTGATCCTTTCAAAACTTAGCCTCTTCCTACAAATGACTCTGGTCATCCCGCCGACAGTTCAACTCGTGACTGGGAAGTGGATCAAAAGACAACGAATTTGGTCCCATGGAGACCGCTGCTGTTGCGCTGACTGGACTTGGAATCGTGCGATACACAAAAAACACATGGTCACAAGCGATATGTTGGGAGGAAGAGCAGAGAATTTGATACACCAAACTTCCGGCGCGATCTCGGTATCGATCTTACGTTCTAGAAGTGATATAAAAACTCTTCTGACCTTTACTCTTCTTGTCTCGTTACTTCCTCTACGGTCTCTTCCGATTTACCAACTTTACGCCAAATTCGGGTATGTTCTGCCTCTCTTTCTTTCTCAAAAAGTTCTACCATTGCGGCGAATGTTCGACACGAAAAACAGAATGGGAGGCCTCTCATGTCTTTCTGTCTTCTTTGCTTGTCGTTCTTGAAAATGCCGAAATGAGATGTAGATGCGCCCTGGTGTCTGACAGGAGAGTTTAAAACATGAGAGAGAAGCATCCATGTTGTCCAGCGACCCAACTTCGCATTTTTCCAAAGCCTACTTAGCGGTTCACAACGAGTCTCCAAAATAAAAGTTTCTGACCTAGATGGCTGTTCGGAAGAAAAAGCCTGGATGGAAGAAGACATGGAGTCTCAAAACAGCCTTGTTGACACGTATTGAGACGCTTGTCGCGGAACTTTATAAAAGCTCCGCCAGTCTCTCTCTTTGCACCTTCTCTACACCTCAGTGCTCGAAGTGCTTTCCTTCAAAATATGGGGCTCTACACCTAATGGGCTCTCTTCTTCGAAAATATCAAAAACGACTATCGTGGTCTCCTCCTGCCTTTCTTTCTTCTTCTCTTTCCATCAAAGGCGACTACGCGTTGACGTATGATTCCTCTGCTCTTCTTTCGACTGGAACGCGATGTTTAATCTTCGTCAAAAGGCACACATGAGTGTTGCATGCCCGAGAAGGCGTACAAAACAGACATCCAAAAGTTCCATGGCTTTCCTGGGCCCTGCGGTCTTCCAATCACAAATTTCTATCATGAATTCCGCATGTACGTGCGGTTGAGTGCTGAGGCCGACACTGATTGCATCCTCCATGGTAAAGCGTAATTTACCATGGTGACCTATGAACAATCTCACAGGCGGTGGGGATATGATTTCGATATCTCGTTTTCAATGCTGTTTTTATTTCTTATACCACCAAGTCCTCACCTCTGAATGATCAAAACCTGCTGGGTGGAGTATGATGAGCCCGTCTGCTCCTCTCGAAAAGGCAAAGGAAAGCGGCATAGTTGTCCTGCTCTCGATATCTTACCAATCTACGTCTTGTCGCAACGGTAGGCGAGCCTCTCAAACAAAGACTCCTCGAGCTGGTTCCAATACCCACGATACACATGCCAGAGGCTGATGTGGAAAACACGTGGTGAGGACGTGGCCATCGTCACACGATAGCGGCAGTGATGTGCCTTTGTGCCACAAATAATTCGGAGCCTATATTCATTTTGTCCAGGCGTCCAAAGCAATCGCAAAGATAATGTCGTCGTCAGAGTGATGCAGTATTTTGCCTCGGCGCGAGTGACCCTAGGGTTTGGTTTAGGCGGCCTGTGGTAACTCTCCAGACGCTCACAATCGACAGTTTCTATGGACTTGCCTGATGTGAAAATGCGCTAGAGCTGTGCACTAGCCTGGCTGGGATTAGCACATCCCATGCTCTTGAGCACTGCTCCGGCCTCCAGCCACCAGATTTTATCACTCAAATAATCGAATTCAACACGATGGCTTCGACAGCACAGTACGCTTGCGGAATTTGCAGGGAGCGTAAAGTTCGGTGCGATCGCGCGCTTCCCAAATGCAGAAGGTGCGATCGTCTCAATCAACCATGTGGCTATCAGGTGCACTCGCGTCGCACACGCGATGATCAGCTCAAACAACTTCAAGAACGGCTGGCCAAGACGGAGGCTCAGCTTGCTCTTACCGCGCAAAATTCGTCTACGACGACTACGCCCCATGCGCAACCAGCTTCTGTATTAGGGCCCACGACTGCTAGTACTCCGATGGACCTGGATAGTGCCAGAGAGACGAATGCAATCGTTGCAAATGGTTCATTTGTTCCGGACGTTGATTTATTCTCTTCTTTTGCAGAAGACATGGACTCACATATGACATTCGACTGGATGAATCAACCACTGGCGGCACTCGAACCGATGGATGATTTACTTCTCAATCAACCTCAGGAAGCGTCACAAAGCACCTCAAAAGAAGACATGTCTCCAACCGATCTGAGTTCGCTGCACGATCGCTACTTCCAGTCCGTCCACTATTCCTTTCCGTTCATAAACAGAGATAAGTTCATGATTGAGCCAACGGTGAGCGGTGGCCCTGCAGCGAGTGCTTTGGTTTATGCTGTTGCGCTTGCGGGCTGCTCTTACACTACCCTTGAAGACTCCGAACGACAGTCGACATGCTACAACCTAGCGCGTGATTACGCCGAGAGATGCGAGCGAGAAGACTGCATGAGTGATCTGAACTTCATCCAAGCCTTGCTGTTGATAGGCCGCTTTGAGGCTACAAGCCAGAAGCTGGAGAGGAGTTGGCTGACACTGGGACGCGCCGCCATGCTTTGTAGGCTTTTGAGGCTACATCGAATGGACGAAGTCAGCCATGATCGAAGTACAGAAAGCGGAGAAAGCCAGAACGGCCCTCGGTTCAGTTTGCCGCATACTGAAGATCCAGTGCTACTGGAAGAGCGACGGCGCACATTCTGGGGCTTATACATATTGGAAAGCTACGTGAAAACACGTAGCGGATTACAGTGTCAGCTGGGAGACGTCAAGGTGCGGAATGTGAACCTCTATGCCTTTAAGGGACTGACACAGTATCCAGGACTTTCGAATCAACTTACCATCGCCAGGGCTTTTGGGTTCGAGTTTAGTACCGCTCAAGATGCCTTCTGTTCTAGACGTGGGTACCGGACCCGGTCTCGAGATATCGTCTTACGCTGGCTGCGTTCTGATGGTCGAGCTGGCCTTGCGCTGCTTCGACCATGGGCAACAACGTGACAGACCAGATTTTTGGGACGATTACTACGCCCTAGTCAAGAAGACTGACGACCTCTTCGTTCTCCTCAAGCGTCATCTTAATGCGACTTCGATTCGTGAAGATCCAGTAGCCTTCAGCCTCTACATGAATCTGCGCGCGACTGAAATCTTCTCTCATGAATCAGCCACCACAAAAAGCGAGGAACAAGGACTACCACCATTGATGATAGCCGAGAGCCACCGCCGCGCGACTGCTGCTGCGTTCCAGATATGCAGCGCGGTAGGCCTTAATCTGCCATCGCCGCGCAAGGAAAGCAGCGATATCATCATGTTGCAAGCTATCTTCATTGCCTGGCCCTTGACTATGGCACTAAAAGCATTACACCGCGAACTCGTCAATGATGGGGGAAAAGAGACTACCAGTGGTGTGGTCGCTTCAACGCGCTTGCTTTTCGCGGCTCTAGATCACATTGAAGAGTCGGAAGGATACTGGCACCAAAGCGTGACGCATGTTGGGGCTAAGCTGCAAGAATGGGAAGAAAAGAACGGGTTAGAGCCGGTGGCTCTGTGAGAACCTTTTGTCTCTTCTTCGATGCATGTAGCGGGAAAGCGGCGATCTTTGCACCACTACACCTCATGGCTACGAGAAAGATTCTGATAATTTCCATTTCGTTCGACATAAGCCCGACCTTTTCCGTATGATATCCTCCGATAGATGTTCTGCTTCTTCATTCGACCGTCATCGTTTCGACACATGAATGTCCCCAGGAG